AGCGTGAAGCTGCCCTCGCATCCGTCAGGAATGGAAGTACGGATGTCCTCGTCGCGACGGATCTGGCGGGTCGTGGTATCGATGTGCCGGATGTTAGTCTCGTCGTGAACTTTAATATGGCCACCAGTATCGAGAGCTATACCCATCGTATTGGTAGAACGGGTCGTGCGGGTAAGAGTGGTGTTGCTATTACGTTCTTGGGTAATGAGGATGCCGATGTTATGTATGTTCCCCTTCCTTGTTCTGCTTGTATGGTGGATGAAACTAATGGTGATTTAGGTACGATCTTAAGCAAATGCTCATCAAGTCGCCCATTTCGAGGGTTCCGGAGGAATTGCGGAAACATGAGGCTGCGCAGTCGAAACCGACGAGGGGATTCTCGTCGAAGAAGAATAATGAGGAGGGTGGCGGTGGTGGTGGGAAGTCGGGGTGGTAGGTTATTAACTCTTTTATCTTTCTGCCCAGCTATCTGTCTGTCTATCTTTCATAGATGGATATATGGCTAGGCGAAGGGGGTATCGTCATGGTATAGAACGAATTATATCCTATTACCATATAAGAGGAGGAACTGCCTTTATAATTGCATCAAGCCGATATGGACACGGCGTATGTATCATACCTTACCAGCGAATCATACAAACTTCCAGACAACGAATTAATGGAGATGCGAGTTCTTATTTTCTATCCTTTTTTTTTTCTCTCTTCTAATTATACACCCCGAACATAGTCGGTTGGGTCTCATTTATATTCTCATTTCAATCGGCATTCATAAATTCCGAAATATGTCATGCAAGTTTGATTTACAGCTTACCGTTGTAGCTGTTGGCCTTGAGCCACGACGCCACGTCCGCCCGGTCACGCTGGACCCAGTTGACCTTGGCGCGGACCGAGTCGAGACTCTGCTCAACCGCACGGTCGAAGCCCTATACGAAGAGTGGAGTTAGCGAGTTCAACTCGGAGGAAACAATTAATCGAACGAAGGGACAGGCCTACCTTGGTGTCCTTGCTCTGGAAAAAGTCCTGCACATCCTTCAACTGCTGCTCCGTGCAGAAGCTGGCCGTGCTGAGCTGCACCACCGTGCCCAGCATACCGAGGGACGGAGGCAGACGCTTGTAGATGGCATCCCAGTTGTTCTTCAACCAGGTCCAGCGAGCCTCGATACCTGCAGGGTGGCTGCGGAGGCCACCCAGGGGCATGTAGATGTCCTGGTTCTTGACCTCGTCGCTGCTGGCCAGGTCCAGAGTGCGCTGGATCAGAGCGGGGTCCTCGGCGGCACCCAGGCAGCGGAGGGCCGTCGTCTTCTCATCGGAAGTGGGGGCGTGGCGGAAGCGGTCGAGGACGACGTTGTACTCCTTCTCACCACCGTTCTTCAACACAATGCTGAACACGCTACCACGGATGTTGGGGTGGATGGCGTTCTCGTCGCCAGCAGCGAACCGCTCGAACATGTCCTGGGCGGCCTTGACGACGACGGGGTCCTCGGCCATACCGGCACTGCCGAACATGAGAGCCTTGAACTGCTGCAGGATGTGGCCGTCCTTCTCGGAGAATTCCCAACCGAGCTCGTGTGCCTTGTGGCTGACCAGAGAGCGCTGGAAGGCCTTCAAGGCGTCGCGCGTAGCGGCATCCTCGAACAGCCAAGCAGCCCGCAGAGAGCCAACACGAGTCAGGATTTCATTCCACACGATGAACTCAGCCTCGCTGTCGAAGCCCTTCAGAAGCGACAGCAGGCCGGACGTGCTCTGGAAGCCAGACGCGGCCAAGGCACCCGCATCGGCAATCATACCGGCACGGTCCTCGACGCTCAAAAGTCCGCTCTTGGCCGCCTCACCCAGCTTAGACAGACGCTCCGGGGTGTACGAGGTGCGGTAGATGGCGGAGTGGTCGGCGTTGAGCTTGTAGAAGTCGAGGTCGGGCACCTTGAATTCGCCCTCGCGCTCGGTCAGCATGGTGCTTTCGTCGATGCCATTCTTGGTACGCAGACCCAGCATGACGGGGTAGAGCGTGGTGTCCTCGTCGGGGCGGACATCACCGGTGCGCAGGAAACGGTTCTGCTTCAGCTTGATGGTGGAGTTGCTGGGGTTCTCCGAGACGGTCACCACGGGGAAACCGACTTTCTTGGTCCAGATGTCCATGACCTCCTCCACGGGCTTTCCACTGGCATTAGCCAGGGCGGCCCACAAATCACCCGTCTGGGTGTTGCCGTAGGCGTGCTTCTTGATGTAGTCGCGCACACCCTGGATGAAGACATCCTCACCCATGTACTTGGAGATCATGCGCAGGACGGACGATCCCTTGGAGTAGGAGATGGCATCGAAGATCTGGTTGATCTCGTCGGCACGCTTCACGGGCACCTCAATGGGGTGACTGCTACGCAGCGAATCCAGGGACAGGGCGCCCTGCAGGGTGTCGATGACATAGGTCTGCCAGACCTTCCACTCGGGGAAGAAGCTGTTGCAAGAGTACCAGGACATCCAGGTCGCGAAACCCTCGTTGAGCCAGAGGCCATCCCAGAAGTCCATGGTGACCAAGTTACCGAACCACTGGTGGGCCAGCTCGTGCTGGACGGTCTCAGCAATCCGCTCCTTGCGGGCGGCACCGCTGGTCTTCTCATCCAACAGCACATCCACGACACGGTAGGTGATCAGACCCCAGTTCTCCATGGCACCGGCGCTGAAGTCGGGGACAGCGACCATGTCCATCTTGGGCAGGGGGAACTCGTTATCGAACGCCTTCTCGTAGAAGGCCAGGGTGCGGGCGGCCAGGTCCAGCGAGAAGCGACCGTGTTCGATATCCTGATCCGGGGTAGCATAGACACGGATGGGGACACGGAAAGCCTTCGTCTCAATGTAGTTGAGGTGACCAACAATGAAGGCGAGGAGGTAAGTCGACATGACCGGGGAAGTGTTGAACTTGACAGCCTTCTTGCCGCCCGCCACCTCGGTCTCCGTGGCGACGTCCATGTTGCTCAGACAGGTCATACTCTTGTCCGCCACCAGGGTCACAGTGAACTTGGCCTTCAAGGCGGGCTCGTCGAAGCAGGGGAAGGCGCGGCGGGCATCGGTAGGCTCCATCTGGGTGGTAGCAATGTACTTGGTCTGACCATCGGCGGCCTTGTAGGAAGAGCGGTAGAAACCGGCCATGTTGTCGTTGAGCTCACCAGTGAAGGTCAGCTTCAGCTGGGCGGAGGAACCGGCGGGGATGGTGTCGGCGAACTTGATGGTCGCAACCTGCTGGTCCTGGTTGAGGGTGATCTCGGGGTTGGAGGCCACGACGGCGCCTTGGGAAGAGACGACGGCATTGTGGATCTTGATCTCGTTGGAGTTGAGGGAGATGGAGGTGGTATCTTCAGCGACGTCGAGGCTATAATTCCGGAGAGTTAGCTTGGTGCACCAGATGGCGGGGTAACCAGGTTATCAGCATGGGTGGGTAGGTAGAACATGAACATACTCAATGACGACGGTACCATCATAGGAGAAGTTAGCAAAGTTAGGTTCGAGGGTCAGGTCATAGTGAAGAGGCTTGACGTTGGTGGGCAAGACCTCACGACCACCGGGGACGTTGGTCGAGCCCGTCACTTCTCCACGTCGAGCACCACACATCCTGCGATAAGAACAGTAACGTTTGGAAGCTTGAGAGAGGGGAGCACGACGAAGAGAAGAGCGATGAAGAGGAGGGACAGTAGAGGAGGAGGTAGAAGAAGAAGAGGAAGAAGAGGAGGAGATGAGAGAGGAGGGAGTAGAAGTAGATAAAGAAGCAGTGGGGAAGTTAAAAGTAGAAGTAGAAGAAGAGGAGGGGCGGGGAAGAGCAGAGAGTCGGTGGAAGCGGAGGGGAGCTGCTGCTGCTGCTGTTGCCCTTCTGGTGCTGCTGTTGCTCAGCGGGAGCCGTGCGGAGGAGGGAAACCGACGCATTGGGATGAATCTGTTAACAGAGAAAGAGAGACAGATAGACAAAGAGAGAGACACACACACACAGTCCCACCCAGATAAACCAATGGATAAGAAAGAAATACAGAAAATATTAGACAAATCAAAGAACAACCACGATCACACGATTACTACTGATACAAAGAGAGATTAATCCCAGCAAACCATCAAATCATCAACAAATCAAGAAAGAAATGTTCCCTTTTTTTGCCGCGGGAATTCCGTCGGTCGTCCGTCTGAATCCGGTAGGCGGTAGTCTTTCTTATGACTAACACCTTCCAGTCATCTGACCAACTGAATTAATTCTACCTTGTAATTCTAACCTGCTCAATCAGGCAATCAGCTCTCCCTTGTTCCTTACCATTCCTATTCGGGCCTACAATGAGGGCTATTTGGAAGAGGGTCTCTCCGCATCACATGACGTCCATCTTTTCACCCCATTTCTGCTTCCCTTTTCCTTTCTCTTTCCTTCTCCATACATATACATTCTTACACGCAGGTCTTCTCCATACAGCCGGTTGCCAGATTTGCCCACCAGGGTAAATATTTCTCTATCTGGCAGTTGGCTGTCGAGCTGCTTCTTCGGGAGTTGTGACTTGCCAGACGGTCCACCAGCCAGTTTGAGGGGTTCATGAATAGAAAGTATCGATTCGATGCTTTCTTTACCGGTGAATGGGCTTCCATAGAGGGCTGGGACATACTACATATTTACACAAGAATTATTAGTATACTAATACAATTTTTGTTATGTTCAGGAACATAATTTCAGCAATATGTTGTCGATTGTTGAAAGGAGCTTTAAATTTAGGAATAATACACACAAGAGGTATCTCGAAAAAGACATCATAAGACAACAAATCTATGAAAAACGACCCATTCCTTCCCTCCCTAATAAATAAATCAATCCCTTTCCCTCCAGCAAAGAAAGCACATAAACTCCGCACCGATGCAAAATGATATATGTAAACATTATAAAATTATGCCATAATATTGGCATTGATGTTGAATCGTTGCGTCATAATCGAAACGAAGCAGCAGTAGTCATGCAGCTGCAACATTCACTAAGGAAGCCCTCAGAAATGATGCTGCTGCTGCTCCTGTTGCTGCTCCCCCGCCTCCTGATACCTCAGCGCCTCGGCCTGCTCAATCGGCATCTTGGTAAAAACACTTCTGGACCAGCCATCGGCATCCACCACCGATTCCTTGACAAGGATGTAGCGACCAAAGCGAGGCATCAGCACCGCCCACACCAAGTAGTAGATAGCGCCGAGGGCGAAGATGCCCAGCGCCACCACACAGTGCAGGTAGTAAGGCAGGTTGTTGTAGACACTCTGTCCGGCACTGGGGGGCACGTAGGGTGCCACCACCAAGTACATGTTGGACAGGCAGAAGAAGATGGTGACGGGGAGAGTGGCCCGGATACCGGGGGCCCAGTCCGGGAAGTTCTTCTCCTTGGTCAGGTAGATGTAGATGAGACCACCGGACACGAAGACGTTGACGATGGACAGCGGGTACGAGATGAGGTTCACCAGGAAGTTGTAGGCATCGCCGGGAGGCGGGGCCAACATGATGATCACGGAGACGACCCAGTGCTCGAAGAGGCCAGCGGCGGGCGAGTTGAACGGCCGGTTGCTGGCCCAGATCTTCGACAGAGGGAGGACTCCTTCGCGACCGAGGGCTTGGACGACTGTTATATATTGTTAGCTTCGCTCGAGCTATGCTGGCATAGAGGGAAGGGGGAAGTGTCTACATACTTCGTCCTTGCGAGAAGATGACCGACAGAACGTTACCAAAGGCAGACAGGGCCACGAAGACCGACATCACCTTTTCGGCACGCGCACCGAACATGTTGCCGAAGAAGGCGGCGGCGACAGTCTGGCCAGAGGACAACATCTGCTCCTTGGGGACCGCGGCAAAGTATGCGATGTTGCACAGCATGTACATGATGCCGACCGAGATGATGGCAATGGGGGCAGCGATCTTCAGGGTACGAGTAGGGTTCTTGGTCTCGCTCAAGGCCTGCAAAACAATATTAGCAACTATCGCACACCACGCACAAAAGCAAGATAACTCACGTAGTTGGCATTCGAGTATCCAATGAAGGACCAGATGACATTGTACAACGCCATGACAATGCCATAGCCGGTATCAGTGGTACCCTCGAAGGCGTTGGTGAAATTGTGGGGAGGATCGATCTTCATATGACCAGCAAGAGCCACCCATCCCGCAACGATGACAAAGAGGATGATGACGAGCTTGACCACACCCAAGAAGTTCTGAAGCATGAGACCCCACTTGACAGCAAAGGAATGGATGAGGAAGGCAGCCGTGATACAGGCCAAACCAATACCACGCTGGTTCCAACGATCCACTTCAATGTCCGCCGCGTTCAGGATATACTCGCCAAAGACGACGCTGTTACTGGCCGCCCAACCCAGCAGGACGGCATAGGCCGCGTACATGGCCGTCATCAGGAACTTGGGCTTCTTGAAGACATATTCGAGGTAGTTCTTCTCTCCACCGTTCTTGGGAATAGCAGTACCCCATTCCAGATAGACAGCAGTACCAGCCATAGCAATCAAAGTACCAATGACCCACATGATCAGGGACAGACCAACACTACCCGACAAAGACAGAATAGTACTCGGGGTAGCGAAGATACCAGTGCCAATGACACGGTTGAAAATCAGAAAGGAGGCACTGATGACACCGATCTGGCGACGATCGTCCGGGGTAGCCTCGAAGACATTTCCTTCATCTGGAGCAAATCAGTCAGGGAAGGGTTCTTCATATGTTGGAAAGACCTAGGAGACCTAGGAGGAGATAGGACATTCACATACACAAGCCAGAAACACCATCCGTCCGACGAGGACCTTCCTCAACAGCCTTGGCATCGGGCAAGATGCCCTTTTGATAGGCAGATTCCACAACCGGGTCCGTCATGGTTGAGTTTGAGATTGTTAGAAAAAGACACAGGAGTCCACAAGGATGACAGGCGAAAGAGCGTCCCAAGACTATATAGTCAGTAGGTAATAGCGCAGCGAACAGGCCAGATTCAGGCCCAAGAGTGAGCGGCTATCACCGGAGGCAAAGACCGTAAGACGCGATGATGTGCTGGAACTAAATGTGATGCAATCCCAAAACGAGCAGGGTCTGCTCGTGATGCGTATGGACACAAACGAAGGCCAAGAATTATCAGGCAGGCAGGACCCCTGTAAAACCGTGACAGCAACTGGTAAAGGAACGTGCCTGGGCAATGGAGGCGAAAATGCGAAAAAAAAAATTTGTTGTAAGAGAAAATCGAAAATGGTGAAGATAATATTATGTTAGGGCACGGGTGTCAATACTATGTTCCAAGTATAGATCACGACCGAGTCCCCCAACAGGTTGGAAATAAATGTTCTAGAAAACGAAAAGTCTTGAAGTCTATTGTGAAATCACGAAGAGGAAGAAAGAATAATCAGAGAAAAGGAAAAGAATGACAAGATACGGGTGAAAGATCACGACAGCGACCGAGACAAGATGAAGCACGGGCAATGACAGACACCCGCCATGTGTCGAGTCATTTTTGTTCGGGATCCCGTGAGGCAAAAAGGTAATTTCTTTGGTAAAGAAAAAAAAACTTCTTCTGGACGTCGGAGCGGAACCCGAACGAGGAAAGCTCTCCACTCCCCTTCCCTATCCTCCCAATCCTCCCAAATCATAACCCAGAGACTAAGACAAGACCCAGAGGGTGGTGAACCGTTCAACGTCCTTCAGGCAATTCCTATGACACACTAAAATCAATCACGCAATTTGGGCCTGGATCTTGCACGTTTAAGTTAGGTAAAGTTAAGGTCAGACCGGGTCCCAGAGCCAATGCCGCCGCCGTGGGTCAAGCTCTAAGTCCGCTGCAGTCCTTCCAACCAGTGGGCACCATTTCCTCGCCACGAGATGAACATATTCGCGTGTTATTATGTGTATATACAGTACAGCTGCCTCTGACTGGCAGTATCTGCAATCTCAAGATCCATCCCGAACCCACCCTGACTCCCTATAATCCCATGGCATCATCATCACTCGTATCCAAAGTCCGCTGGCAATTTGTGTACCCGGGTCCCCAGCTTGAACGCCAATAGAAATAAACACCCGCCCAACAGGCCTGTAAGTAAATCATGCGAATCCAGTAAGAAATTGGATAAAGAAAAAGGAAACAACACACGCAAAAAGATAACACAGCAACCCTATAATAAACCCGTATAAAGAACAATAAAATACTCGTGCATCGATGCGTATATCAAAACCCAGAGAGAACTGGCGTGGAGAATGGAAGAAGTAAAAGCAGGTCCCGCACGCGTGTCAAGGTACTAGCTCGAAATGCAGTTGCCTGCATTAGCAATTCCCACACAAGCTGGGACATGAAATAGAAAGAAAATAAGATAGAGTAAGAAAAGAGCAAAATGAGCATGGTCCTGCATGCTTCTAACGGTCAACGTCTTATTTCGGGCGGCGTGGCTCCCACTGCAGGGGAGACTGGCACGAGATTCGACGGCGGCATTTTGCCCGGTCCACTGGACGGGGGCGTGTACCGATTCGACAGCAGCGCCAGTTTCTTCCGGAGCGACGCCAGGCGATTCCGGATCTTCGATATCACTGTGCCAAGCGTTAGCGCCTAGCTACGCAGTGTCGTGCATTAAGGTGGAGAGAACACTTACTTTTCGCCAGAATCACCGCCTGGGGCTCGTTCTGTCCGCCATCCTCGTTGTCCCGCCGGCCGTCGGCTCTATCAGCGCCGCCGTTTTGGCCCGATCGGGATACTTCCACATCATCCAGGATGGCTTCGAGCATCCGGATGGCAGTGACATACGAGATTTCACAACCGGCTAAATCCTCGCCGGTGATTTCATTGATAGCCGCCACTCGGCTCATCTCCAATGCGCGCTCGTACATGAGCTTCTCTGCTGTCACGTCGGGGCTGACCACCACATCGGCAGAGGTTCCGGAGCCTAAAGAGGATGCAACCGACAGGTTGCTGGGATGGCTGGGATGATCCGAGGGCAGTCTCTTCTGCGCTTCAACTAATTTGAGCCGGACAAATTCGGCTTTCTCCAGCACCTCGTTGAACCGGTTGCGCACCCACTGGACGACATTGTTAATCCGATTGCCCGCAACGGTGCTTCCAGTATCCGCTCTGCTGAGCGTATCGCCCCGGCTCTTGCGAGTCCACCATACACGCGCAATATCCATCGATTTCGCCAGCAATGACAGGGCCTTAACGTAGAGAACCAGGGCTTCCTCAGACAAGGTCACAATAGCATCGACCGTGAGTCCACCATCCGCCGAATCGACAGCATCCGATGCTGGGTCTCCCGAAAACCCAGTGGCGGCAGATGGTGCTAGTGGAATCAGCTGCTTGTACTTGACTTCGGCAAACCCGTACACGACATCACTGCGCGTGGCACACTCCTCGAGATCATGGACGGTTTTGCTATCTTCGTCCAAGTTGGCACCGTGCTTGCCCCCATCCGCGTGGACAATCAAGCTCGTTTGGGCACTGGGGTATGCGGGAAACGGATTGTAGGCCAACGGAGGCGAGCGTCCGCCTTTCGTGATGGTCAGGGGTGGTGAGAAACTCATTCCAAACAAACGTCCGCTGGCCATATTGAGAGCCTTTGAGATGGCCGATGTAGCCGACGTAGGGCTTTGTCCATAGCGGCGATCGTATGAATTTTGACGGACGTGGGTTGAATCGGCACGGGAACGCCCTGAGATGATTTGCATGGCTTTGCTGGGCGACGCATGAGGCGACGACCCCCCGGCCGGCGGTGTGCCTGGAGCCGCTCCCGAACGCCGGGAAACTGCACCTCCTTGGCCACCCTGCATTCGTGGGTTGTAGGCCAGTTCGTCAGCAAAAGCATTCATCTCTACCGCACGCTTCTCCACAAGCACGTAGTCCCTCTCAAATGCTACCTCTTGTGCAGCATGCTCCTTTTCGTCCTTCGCTTTCTCGGCGGGTTTGTCAACTTGGGGCACTCCCGAGGATGCCGTACGTCTCCGTTGCTGTTCCAAGACGGCCGTCGTGGGAGGGCGATCGACATGCTCCTGGCGGCCAGGGGCAGTCGCCAGAGACACTGGGCTCGGCCTTGTGGGATGAGATGCTGGCGGTGTGGGCTCATTCGGAGCAGCATGATGCTTGCCCGCACTTCCAGTCCTCCGCATAGGCGTTGAAGGGGTCTCTGGCCGAGGGCTCTGTGTCATGGCTCGTTGAGCCGCCGGGTAAGTCGATGGCTCATCCCGGACTCCAGCAGACAGCGCATTCTCACGTTTCATTTGAACGGGCGTGCTACGCCTTGACCCGGAACCAGGTCGAGGTGTTAGGTCGGCCGGAGAACGCCCGAGGGGAGTGTCATCCGCTACCAGACCGGGAATCGGTTCTGTGAGAACCTTGTGCGCGAAAAAAACATCGAAATTCATCCGATCCATTGGGTGCTGCTTCAGGAGACCTCTAATGAGGTTCCTGATGTCCTCCGACACACGATTCGTCGGCGGAAATGATATTTGGTCCTTATTTTTTTCGATTTTTTTGATGAGTTCAATATGGTTCACTGCACGAAACGGGGCCTTCCCGACTACCATCTCATAGAGTACCGTGCCCACAGACCATAGGTCTGCCTTCGCGTCGTATTTCTCGTATCGCAAGATCTCAGGGGCCATGTACAATGGCGAGCCACACAAAGTCTCCGCGAGAGAGGTGGCCGGCAAAGACCGGGCGAAGCCAAAGTCAGCAAGCTTTAGCATTGGCAGAGACTCCAGTCCGGTCTTTGGGCTGAAGGAGTCCTCGCTGCTCTTGAAAGGTACAAATTCAGCAGCCCCACTGCGGTAAGACGACGGTGCAGGACAGAGCAGCAGATTCTGGGGTTTGATGTCCCGATGAATCAAATCACGATCCCGAAGGAATCTGAGTGCGCTCGAAAGTTGTTTGAGGAAGTGGCGGACGATCACCTCGTTGAGGCCCGCACCATCCCCAGGATTGGGGTACTTCGCTATCAATTCCCGTGTGTATGCGCTGTAGTCCCGCAGGGTATGGCGCCCCTTGATGAAGTGGGAAAGGTCCCCCATAGCACAGAATTCCATCACCAAATGAATATTGGAGGTCGTATCGTGGCAGTCAAGGAGAGCGACGATATGGGGATGGTGGAGCTGTTTAAGAATGGAAATCTCAGAGGCGAGGTTCTCCTTAAGCTTCCTGCTGAGTTTGGTCATGGTAACCGATTTGATTGCCACATATGTGCGTGATCTCTAAATCGCGGAAACCGCATCATCACTGGTTAGCCCTTGTAATTTCACATCCGAGAACACCGAGCTATATAAACAGGCCGGATCTTCGGCAGAGATAAGAATTAGAGGAAACAGGATCCCAACTTACCGTATGAACACCTTGGTAGACCACGGCAAAACTCCCTCGACCGATCTCGTTCAGCCGAGTGTAATGGCCAATGGGCATCTCGCCATGAGGGCCCTCATTGGACCTCCTGGAATGATGTGCAGATGCCATGACTGCAGCCAGGCGATGAGAGCGTCTTTAGAGACCAACCACACGCCCCGTCAACCACACACTACCTCAACAGCGGCAGAAACAGCGTCGGGTGATGGAAGAGGCCCATCAGGGGAGCGAAAGGTAGATCAGAGGAGCGGCCGGTGATGGGCGAGTGGATAGAGCGGATGATAAAGCGAGACGGAAGATAGGAAGTAGGAGAGATGGATGGGATGAGCGTGGCAAGCCGGAGGAGGAGAGGCAAGGAGGGCTAGACTGCGTGGCAGACGACGGGGACAGTAGACGGGGCAGGAAGAAAGGGACGGTCCAGAGCGTAGGCAGTAGTAGCGGTAGTAGTAGTAGAGTAGGAGTCGGAGAAGTTGGGGGACGAGAAATAGGGTGCGCAGCACACCTACAGTAGGGCGCAAGTAGGCAGGAGAGCGGTGAGGCGGAAAACGGGGGCTTGTATGATAGGATGAAGGGCGACAGGGATGGCTAGACGGATGACGACCAAGGCGTGGGACTTTAAGTAAGTACTATAGAAGGAGGAGGATCGGGGGATCGACGATAAGGTATGAATCACCGCACTAGGGACGAGAACGGTGGGGAGGCGTGATAGATAAGCCAGAGATGGCGTGCGAGGTGAGGGTTAGGTGGAAAGTGACGAGCAAGAAGATATAGGAGGAGGAAGTAGAAGAAGTAGAAGAAGATCAGAGGCAAAAATAGTCGAGAGAGAAGATGAGTGAGTGGGAAAGGAAGCTGAATGATGTGATGGGGGAAGAGAGAGTAGGAAAGGCGGGAAGCAGCTGGACCCAGGGATCCTTGACGATGTCTGGGAGAGCAGCGCAGCGCAACGAGACAAGAGAGCGTGACCGCCGATAACGAGCCAAATAGGACTGGCGGATGATTGAATGACCTGGGGGGAGGGAGAACCAAGGCGGTCAGAAGAGCGGAACCACTACTACGACTAAGTACTGGTATCTCAGGTATGACCGCAACCAAGTTTGGGTCCGCCTTAGCTAATCAATTCATCTGCCAAAAACATTAAGAGAAAGTACGAAGACAGACAGGAACCAACCAATGCAGTATACGACAGAAACCGAATAAATCACGCAACAAGACCAAAAACAAAAAAGAAAGAAATGGCATCAACTCACTCATAAGTATACTAATCTCACCAACCAACAAAGCAACCTGCAGGATTGCACAAGGGAAAGAAGGAAATCCCCAGACTCAAAAACCCACCAGCAAAAAAAAGAAAGAAAAAAAGGGGGACCCCGGAAGTTGCCAGGAAAATTAATTACCAGCAAGAAGAGATAAAAAGCTGCAGGCGACAGTACACGATGATAACGGGCGCGATCCAATCCATCCAACTATCCATCGCCTGAGGCCGGATGAAGAAGAAGCGGAGGGGGAGGAAGGACGGAGTAGATGATCGGTATTACATCATACCGTATAGAACCAATACTGCACTGAAACCCACCTCTTCATCACATTCCACCTGCGCCTGACTGATGTTCTTAACTTACCATACGAGATTCTATTCCTGGTAAAAACCAAGTCAGGTCACCCTCCTTCGTTTTCCCAAGGGACACTGCAGCAGTGACACCTCTGCTTTCTCCACTTTCTCTTCCCTATCACCAATCCTCCTTCCCCCAGCCAGCCAGCCGATCCGCGATCGACCCAGTCCCAGTTAGTTTCAACTTTCAGTCAGTCAATCAGTCAGTCCGTCAGTTTCATGGTAACCAACCCAACGTTCGCGGGAGAATTCTCCCCCATTCCCCGGACACCGAATCATTCTGCAGGCTCCCATTTCTTCCCACCCCAGAGGCTGGCTACTATCATCAAGTGACTCATCTTCAACTAAAGTTAACTAACTAACTAGTTAACTAACATTATTACGTCGGACCAGAACTACTTCTACCTATGACACAAACACAGCCTCCCCATGCGACCTCGCCACCGACTGACTGAAACTGACTGAAGAACCGGATCGCCCTGATAAGCTAAAGCTATGTACCCTACCTCACTTGTGTAAGTTCTTCTACTGCGCACTCCCGTAGCCTCGCCCACGGAAACCTTACTTAGGTGGCGATCAACAAGCCTACGCCGGCGTCGGTGGCTGCTGACTGGTTGATGATAACCCCGTGGCCCCGTAGCAATGCTGCCTGATTGTTATCTATTTATCTCCACAGTACTAGTAGCTCCCTGTTTGCTCTCGTAGTTTGGTATCTGGAGGTGGTAGTATTTCTATTTACTCGACTGCCCGTCAATATTCACAGGGAAGTGGAAGGCCAAAGTAGTAAATAAGTCAAAAGAAAAAGCAACTGCATCATACACAGTAGGGACACACACGCACACCTTCCCGCCAAAAGATAATATGAAGAATTGAGAATGAAGAGGAACCAAAAAGAACAAGCCCTCCACGTCATTCCCAGAAATAATGACCGCCTGACGCCTGGCTCTTCCTCTATTCCTTCAAAGGCAATTGTATATAGAAACAAGGAACAAAGAGAAAGAAAATTCCCACCCTTTTGGTCTGATCTAGTTCCTTTTGTCTATTCTCCCCGGTCGGGCCATTCTTGGGTAACCAAAAACAGGGCGTCCCTTCGATACTATGTCCCTCGCGACCACAGAACCACATACTAAACTTCACCCAAAGAGACGTTCTAGAAACCGGGTAAAGGTAGGGTTCAACAACAAGCCTCCTCAAACCCCAAGCCCTCTCACGAGGAGCCATAGCACAATCGGAACCACGACATTGTCATTACATCCCGTCAGAATCGCCTCGGTTGCGCTGGTTCCCCCAGCGGCCAAAATGACTTTCACCACGGTTTTCAACCAGGGGAAGTTCTGGTGCGGTCCATAGTTGTCTCCGGTGATCGGCCATTCTCCCAGCACAAGCCAGCCTCGCGCGAACAATAAGCCACACGTTACAGCAACCGCAAAGGCCACGCTGCCCTCGAGCGATTTCCCTCCTCCCCAAAACCACTTGCGCCGACCGAACCGTCGCCCCACGAGCGACGCCGCCGCATCGCCCATGCCCACGCAGATGATCCCGCTCACCATACTCACGTCCCGGGTCATCGCACTCCACCCCATCCAGGGATGGTCGCCCGTCCGAGGGATATCCGCCAGAGAAAGCCAAAGGGGGATCGAGCATCCAATGAGGAGGAAGATGTGCGACACGATCACAGGGCCCCGGTGATCGCGCCCGTCCACGTAGGGGGCAAGGAAGTAAGTCAACGGGCGCGAGATCGGGGGCAGCTGGGACGCTCGGAAGAGATCGAGCAGCAGGAAGACGGACAGAACTAGACTCAGGGCCAGAGCACAAAACGTGGGGTCGACGTACACCGTCGGAAGGAACATCAGCACCATCATGCCATGGAAGACCTTGCGTCTCGTATCGACCTCCGCGACGGAGCTCAACTGTAACACAACCGCCAATCCAGTCACAAGTACCACAACACAATATGCTGCAACGAGGAGGCGCGAATTAGCCTCCCCGAAGACATCTCGGCGGAGATGTTCGACCCAACCAAGAGTGCAGGAGGCATCCAACAGGTCAGGGTCCAGGCGAGCGGGGAGAGGAATCCAATATTCCAGGTTCCACATAATCACCCAGAATCGAAACCATGAAACGTTGCCCAGCAGATAGCTCAGTGCCCACCCGAACGGGTCTTCTCCGTGTAACGCCTGCTCGCCCACATATTTGCGAACAGGTCCTAAGATGATGAGCAGCACTGTGACGTAGACGAACAACGCGTACAGCCATTTCCGGACTTGGGCTTGAGGCACTGTCAGCGACAGGAACGACGCTAGACCAGGGGCCATTGATCGCTTTCGTCGCCCACTGGGGGTCGTTCTAACTTTTCCTGTGCGTGCGACCTCGCTGACGCTAGAGATTGTGTGCCGTCGCCGGTGTGTAAGTGTAGGCTGCTGCCGGACGCTTTCTGTCACCTCAGCCTCTACGGTACGATTGGGCTCGCCCGCCTTGGTTTTGTCACGCGACTCGAGCATTGTCTTTCGTGAGACGAGCGAGAATTGGCCTTCTGGCGAGTCACTGTCCGACATATTGTCCTCCGAGGTGCCCGTGCGGCTTAGTCGCTGGCATAACTTGTGATCAAGCACATTGAAGATACTTCGGGGTGACTGCGAGTTGCTGGGCGCTCGCCGAAATTTCCAGCTGGGGATCCTTGCCAGAGCCACTTCCCAGCGAAGCACGTCGCGACAAGAGATGAAGATGCACAGGCCACCAAGCCATAGCAACGCCTTAAGGATTTCTGCCTGAGGCGAGGACGCAAATAAGAATAGATTGATCAGAGCGCTTGTCAAAAGCTGCAGTTCTGCGGGAAGGACGCTGGTAGTCAACAAAAAATCTAAAGTGGGTATCAACGCTTGATGTAAAGGAAAAAGAAGAGCCAAAGATTCCGAGTTGAGGCCGCGAAGAGATAAAGGTTTGGGAGGTGAGATTCCTGCCGATAGTTGCTCCGAGACGATAACCGGAAGCAAAGTGATCATCCAATGGACGATGCTGTGTCCGTGACAACAATCGTGCAGTGGGATGACGGCAGGCGGAAGAGATGAGAGACTGAGGAGGACATTAGGGAGTATTAGAGTAGGACTATGCTGCGCTAAAGACAAAGCAACGTAAATGGGTATCAAAATCGGGTAAAGCAGCGGAGCAGGATCGAAACTCGTAGGGATAACAAAGGACCGTAGTCTTGAGAAGCGAAAACGTCCATCTCGATGGAAAGGATAAGCGGCGTAAAGCCCACCGACAAGTAGGGAATGGGCAAGAAGCTCTAAGGAACATTAGCAACCACGGAGATAAGCTCTCAAATACACTATTATATCTCGCGCACCTTTTCTCCAAGCCCAAGCAATCGCCCTCGTGCTTTCTTGTCCCAGAACGACGCCGCCCACCGAGAGGAGCAACGCAGCCTCCAACAACCTCTGCAGAACCCCGATACGCCGCTTCCGAGCTTCCTGTCCGCGCAATCCTGTCGCTGAGGCCTCGGCTTCTTCTCCTGAGCTCCGCCGCGAGCTCCGTGAGGTGGAACGGGTTATCGACGGCCACGGGCGCAATAGGGGAAACCACTGGTCTTCCTCGCCAACAGCATGGCGACCCGAACGCAACCCTTTCCTTGGTCGCAAAGGTGCTGCTGGTAAACCCCTCAGTATGCCCGTGCTTTCATCATCAGCCTCGGTGCCACTATCGCTCGAGGTCCGTGGCCAGTGGAGACGGGTTGATCGGTCGCCGGTATCCGCAGGCAGCGACGATGAATGCGAGCCCTTGCGACGATACGGGTGAGGGGAACGAGAGGGTTGTCGGGGAGTGTCAGACAGCTCTATTTCGAGGGCAGAACCGTTGACAGGAAGCGATTCGTCTTCCTCCTGGCTCAGCGAAACGGCCATGGCATGGATGGTGGGTGATGAGCGGCCTTCAGAGCGAGTACGTCATATCGACTGATGGGTCGGTGGAGGAGCACTGGGTTGAGACGGAGGGTTAGCGATGACAGGACCATCTGACCGGGGTCAAACAGAGGGCGTGTCAATATACCAGGAGAATTGACCCAAGAGAGGTGCGTGGGGTGGCAGCAGCGAAGAGGAAGATGAAGTGAGAATGTTATCGCTTTGATCGAACCGGAATCCCAGGGCGGAAAGGCGGGTTTTTTCGCTTATCACATGCCGCGCAGCACGTCAGCAGGAGAGCCTCTTGGAATCAGCCCATCAAGTGAACCCATCGTCACTCTTGAATCTTACAAAAGGTTATTCACTACATTGTTGCTCCTATTTCCGCTACGAGTCAGGAGATATGTACTTTTGTATCGGAGCCTCCACTCTAAGACGTCGAATGATCCATGATGCATACTTGAAAGCCGTGCGCAATGGACCCCTGCATGGCCGGCAGCCTTACAGCAAGCAGCACGCCTATGATGCCGGGGTGTGTCTTTGTATAATGACACCTGCTGCCAACTCTCGTCCTTTCGCTCCCCATACAGATTTGCAGGGAACAATCTGCGCGGAGAACGCAGGTTTGGACAATGGCTGACTGGTATAGATGATCGCGTGAGAACCTTCTGCCACCTCACGCAGCTTCTGCAGGACAAGCTGCAGATACGAATCCAGATCTGATCCTGACTGTTCCATGTCGATCTCAATGCCGATATAACTGAGTTTCTGCTCTGTGGACACGGTGGTCTTGCGGCCATACTCCGTATCTTCTGCAGCCATCCGCAATCCACCACACCTGTACCCCAGACCCTGCCATTCGATATCACTTCCTCGGGGAAGCTCTGAAATTTGGACTGCGAAAAACGCAGGAACCAAAGCGTCTGACTGGACCACCCCAAAGTTAGGCAACTTAGGTGTCGATGGACTCGTGGCTTGCTCGTGCGCACGGCCTCCATACTTGATATCCCAGACATCCAGGCCTGATTCTCCGTCTTCGTGGTCTTCTTCTTCATGAAGAGCATGCATCCGCTCCCAGATGTTCCATGCTAGTCGGGCCTGTGTCTCAATGTGCTCTTCTCCCACCAAGAAAGCAACAGCCCCCAGCCACCAGTCAACCTCCATAGCGTGCGCAATCCTCCAAAGATGCTGCAAGGAAAGCACCGCGCGCGTGGCATAGTTCTCGATCCACGGCCGCGTCAGTGCTTCCCCTGAAGCACTCATCATCTCCATCGAAGCCGGCTCCAGCGGAATCTGTCCGGCAATGTAAACCATGTGCTCCGATCCCTGTACCGGAACCGACATGGCTTGCGAGTATGGGCCAATATTAGCCGGCGCCCAGTAAGAACGCGACTGGACATGAAGACCCTGCCTTTGCTCTCTAGGACCCAAGTCCACCACCGCCGATACCATGACCTTCACTCCCTCCGGCAGACTATCACCGCAAGCCACCGTAGCCCTCGCCGGAGGATTAGGCTTCTTGAATAAGGAGACGTAGATACCATTCATCAAGGCAAAGTCCGCCATAGAGCGCAGCAGCACCGTTGTAAAGACGATATCAGCCGTAGTCCGAGACGCAGTCCCATCCTCACGCCGCGTAGAAGCCAAGATTGCCTCAATCTTCTCCTTGATCGCCTCCATCTGCTCCGCAGCCCCAGGACCAGCCTCAGGGGCCGAGATATTAGCAACCACCCACGTGCCACCATTCGTACTCTGCAACATCTCCATCTGCCCTTGAGACGACGACACCTTTGCATCCCTCTCTTCCAACACCTCCTCACCCCCCAATACCTCCCCAACACCTCCTTAAACCCCTCATCCAACAACACCGGCCTCCTCACATCCCCCGGCACCACCCCATCCCCATCCTTATCCATACACCTCGCCCCCCTAACCCTCACAAACGCAACACCCCCCTCCCCAGCACCCTCCTCCCACCTCGGAACCTCAATCCTCTTCTTCCAAAGGAAACCCGGCCCATCCAACGCCAAACTCTCATACTCACCACCCTCACCCAACACCGCGCCCCTCACATCCCCACCATCCAAGACAAACCTCTTCATCCCATTGATAATCCTCCTCCTAACCCCCGCATTCCTCCCCGACACATCTCCCCACAAAAACCCGGAATCCAATCCCCCCGACGCAACCTTGATGATCCTCGCCTCGCACCCAACCGCAGCCATATCCTCCAATAGACCTGCTTCTCCACCAAGACCAAACCTCTCCTCAGGCGCAGGCAGAACAGGGTACTGCCACAACCAAGCAAGCGGCACGAGACCCATCCTCGCTGCGACGTTCTCGATCCGGGTACGTTGGTACGTGGAGAGAATAGCGCCGGCAGAGATGGCGTTGGCTTCCGGGTGAGCGGCCTTGATGCGTTGGAGGAGCGGGACGAGAGACTCAGTTTCGTCTCCCTCATTCCTTTCTCCTTCATCGCCTTCTGCTTCTCCTCCGGGTGCTGCTCCTGATAATGATGAAGGAGAATCACGATAAACCCTCCCCGTATCCACCGCAGACCCTATAATCTGCTGCCGGTACAGCGGAATCCCTAACGCGGACTCATACTGCGGGATAATGCTATGCCCGATTGTTTGGTACATGAAGCTGTCGATGTCTTCTTCCTCATCTTCCTCATCATCGCCATCTCCTTGTGATTTCTCCTCATTATGAGGGGTTGTGGTAGGCGGATACAAATTCCCCAGCGCAACGACCTTATGTCCGTTCCGGATGCAGTGGAGAATAGAGTATAGGGAGTCTTTACCTCCCGAGATCAAGGCGATGACATTTAGACTTGTGGGGGAGGTGGGGAGGGGGAGAGATGGTGTAGTTGATGTAGACATGTTTTGTATTGAATTGTGGGAGGGGTAGATAGTGATTTGAGTGCGGGGGAATTTTTCTTTGCTTTTTTTTTTCTCTTCCCCGTCTCTCCGATTCAGTTGAGGATCGATCGGACCCCTCTTTTTGCTGAGTCGGGTGGGGAGGGTTGATGACTAGGTGTATATTGAAATTTAGACTGGGATGATGAGAAGGTTAAAGTAGAATGATTGTGTAGTTTTTAGCTAGGGAGCTGGTAATGTATGTGGAGCTGGCTTTTTTGTTCTACGGGTGACGTTCGAGGCCAGACTCGGAAAGCCGACTGCAGCCGCCCGAGTCATACTTCCATAGTATACGCCGCATATAGCTAAGACTACAACCATACTATCATACAATGCTTACAATCTACTGGCATGAGTTGTGATATGTTCAAAATATCGATTATACTAGCTAAGTTGCAGAACGAACAATACGCTCAACACAAATGGCACACAAGTATTATGCACATGTGGATGCAACCGACAAGAGTGGAAGGAAATAGGAGGATGCACACGGGATATGAGGCAAAGATTGGGGAAACTTGATAGTATTAAATTGTACATGTGGCCAGCACAAATTGATTGGGGGTGGATGGTTCTGCAATCAGCAGAATGACAGGAGTGTGCAAAAATATTACATCGAATAGGCACAATGAATGCAACTGAAGGCAACAAAAAAAGAAGAATGAAGTATATAGCAGAAGCTGGTAAGGAAAAGAGGTGGGAGATCGGGTACACAGAAAATCGCCGACAGGGGGTCAATAGCCCCCGTCGCGCGAGGATTGAGTCGGAGATATTCTCTCGCTGCGAACAGATTGTAAAAAAAAGAAAGGTAAAAAGGAGTAGAAAGGGGAATCGGAGAATAAGATCAACCCAGATCACCAGTGCCTCAAATGTGAAAGTCATCATGCGCTCTAATTAGTTTTGGTCCAACCGTGGACTCCAAGTGCGCCCAAGTTCCGTTGCCGCCGGTCTAATGCTTCGCCAATATTCGGTCCCATAAAGGGTGCCCTTTGCTCATGGTTTGTATCGTTTTCGTTTTTTCTTTTCCTTTTTTGAGTAGGGCACCAGAACCGGTCAAAACCCGTACACCTGTAATTCCTATTCTGGTCACCGCCAGAAACAAAGCCCGGACGCCAAACCGCAAGACCAAGTCAGACCAACCAGTGGAATGGAAGGTAATGTTTAGGATGTTATTAAGTGATATATGGGGAGCTCCTGGTCACATATCATCGTGATAGCTGCAAGCCAAGCGAATGCCAGTCTAGGCGTCGCTGTCGCGCTTGCGCTTCTTGGGCGCCCGTCGGTCGACGGTCGGCGAGTCAGAGGAACTCTCATCCGACTCACTGGTTGTCGACTTGGTAGCGGCGGCGTTGGCGGCCTCGTAGAGAACGTTCCCCAGCGTACTAGGGTCTCGTTCTTCATAGGAGTTTGGCGGGGTCGCATTGCCGGTGTCGATGACGCCCATCACGACAGAGCCACCCGCATGAGTGCGAGCGTGCTGCGCAAGGTTGTCGCTCCGCGAGAACTTCTTACCGCACTCATTGCACTCGAAAGGCTTGTCCTGAGTGTGGAGGGAGCGGTAGTGACGCTTGAGGTGCTCTTGGCGACGGAAGCGACGGGAGCAGAGAGTGCACACAAAGGTCTTGGAGGGATCGTCCGTCAAGGACTGCTTACGACCACGTCGGTTAACCGAAACGGGCGCAGCAGGAGCCTCAGAAGCGCAAGAATGCGCGTCGGAGTTGTGGCGGGCCTGGACAGCCTGGGGTGTCGACGAAAGTGTCTCCATGCTGGAGGCACGGCTGTTGACCGAAGGCTGTGACTTCTTGCTAATCGAGTCCGTTTCGCTGTCCGAGGTACTAGCCCGCTTCAGCGACTTGCGGCTGTTCCGCTTCTTGTTACCCATCTCTTCCGTGGCTTCATTGATGTTGGTCTGGATGCCAGTGAAGTCGTGGCTCCCCAAGTAAGGAAGACTGGACTGACTGAGATCCTGCTCGTCAGACTCGTCGAAGCTCTGCTCACTGAAGAACTCCTCTTCCTCGAGAGGGTATGTCGTTCCCACACGCTGCCTCTTCTCGCCCAGGTAGTAGGCGTTGCCACTAGGGGGGAAGTCGACCAGGCGGTTGACGAATTCGTCTTCCGAGTCCAGGTCCGAGAAGCTGTCAAAGGTGGGCAGGCTGCTGAGAGGGTCCTCCGAAGAGGAGCAGGTGAAGGCGGGCGAGAGAGTCTCATGGACAGGAAGGGTCACGGCCTCGCTGCCCAAAACCACGCGAGGCTCCTCGTCATCGCAAGAAAGCGTGGGCAGAGGTGGCAGGTCAGCAGAGGTGGCATTGATGGAGGACTCGACCGTCAGCTGACGGGGGTCACAGAAGTCGGAGCTGGACTGCTCGGTCGGCAGACCTTGAGGCTGGGCAACGAATGTGGGGGCCACGGGAGATGGCGATGGGGAAAGAGATGGGCAAGAGCTGTGCGCTGACAGAAGCTCGGATGTTTGGCTGGCGGTGAGGGAAGGCGGATGTATGAACACTAGAACAAGTCGAGTTAGTTTCCCTGTACAACCCTAGATGTCTGGCCCCGTGCGTTTTCCGTTGGAAGCACCCATCCCTCCAATCTGGCACCCAAGTAAAAAGACAACGGGTTAGATCATAACTTACCAGGAGTAAGAGGCGGCGAGTCAGATCGGGTCCAGTCAGCATTGGCCAGAATCTCTGCATGAACATCTCCCTCGCATCCCTCCTTGACACCCTCCACCTTCTCGAAAGCAAAGAAGCTGTCATTGATTGGGGTGTGAAGAGTGCCACTGGTAGAAGGCGGGCTGCTGATCGAGCTCCCAGCTGTGGAGAGTGGTGGGGTGGAGGGGAATGCGTAGTACTCGTTACCGACGAACCTCGTGTCCAAAGGCATCAGGGCAGGAGAGCCCTGCTGCACAACAATTGTGGGCTTGAGGTGTGACGGCTGAGGAGAGGCAATGGGAGTCATGTTCATGGCGCCACGGAAGGCGTTAGTGGTAGCCATCTGGTGCATGTTCATAAGAGGGGCAGTGTAGAGAGTCTGCTGCTCCGGCATGCAGTGCTGTGGTTGTTGCTGGAAAGCCTGCACTTGGCCATAGTATGACTGCATATCTGAAGGGTGGCTGGTGAAATGTTGTCTTTGCTGCGAATCAGGGTAGTATGCAAAAGATGGTTGACCTTGCACCGGAGTAGGTGCCATGGTGTATGTTCCGTCCATTGTGTCTAGAGATAAAGAACAGGGAACCCGGTCAGTCACTCGCACTGCGCCTTGAATAGGAAGAGGTGCACTCACAGATGGTAGGACGTTGTGAATACAAGAGTAGAGGTAGCTCTACTCTTTAGTGGATATTATTAGTTATATAGTTGGTAGCTCGTCCACAGCGATGAGCGCTGAAGGTGAATGAATGTCTTGCAGAGTTGCTTGCACTTTGAGAGAGAATGACTGGGGGAAGGACAGATGATAATCCAGGAACCGCTCTCAACCAGTAGAGTATATATGAGATGCGAGATTGACTGATTGATTGATTGATTGATTGATTGATTGATTGGGCTGTTTCGTTCTTGATAGAAAGGTTGAATGTCGTGTTGGTGGTATCTGGGATTATATCTGACGACTATGCCGCAAGTCTATGAAGGAAGGACAGGCACCTTGTATGTCGAAACGAGCCAAACCAAAAGATGAGTATGGTTCAGGACGTTCTCGATTCAAGGAAACCGGGAGAGACTGTATAGAGTCGCAAAAGTGAAAGAGAGAAAAAGAGGGCAGACAATTAAGATTAAGAGAGAGAGATAAAAGAGAGAGGGAAGAGAGAAAGGAAAGACCAGATGAGGATCGAGACAAGTCTAAAAAGGGCAAAAATGGAAAAAATAAGAAATAAAGAAGATTAATTTGAAGGACGAGGACAGTCGCGGGGAAAATGAGAGACAGGGCCGATATGGAAAGAGGAAAGCCGGCCAGAAGGATGGGCAGTGGATAAAAGAGCGACTGATCTGCTTGTGCTACGAGCTGGTAGCGCCGTGAGTAGTGAGCAGTAGGACTGGAGCCGTACTTTTTAGTCTGAAAGCCTTTTTGGGCGAGATGGGCTGCATGGAACTTTACTTTCGCTGGTGGTGGTGCCAGCAGCGAACGGTCACTACTATAATAGTAGTAGTAATCGTAATATAGTAATAAATCAACTAATAAATCTGCCGGAATGGTATGGTGTCATATGTTCGGAGACTCTCTTTTTCTTCCTTTTTTATTATTATTATTTTCTTATTTATACTCTTTTCGTAAGATTATTTTTATTTCTTTTCGGAATTCTTTTTTGAGCCCTTTTTTTGTGAACTATTATTGTTTTGGATTTTTCCATTTCCCTCTTCTTTTTTTTTTTATTTTTCCCACAGCCTTCTTTTCGACCCCAAATAATTTTGGGGGGATCATTTGTCCTCGGATTATCATCATGCCTGCCCACTTTTTTTTTTATCCTTATGCACATCCGTCCTGGGTAAGTCGATTTTCTAGTCTGGGGCGGCAAAGAATAGCAGATTGGCGCCGGTGCACATCTCAGTACCAACCGAATGAGAAACTTGGGAGCGGAGACCAACGGGAGGTGGAACCCTCCTCGGCGGGCTTCTTCATCATCACAGTCAGCGGCATCAGCAGCAGTTAGTAGTTAGTATAGTTTAGTTAGCAGCAGGAGCAGAGCAATATTCCACCTAGGCAGGCTAAGTTAGCCGGGACATGTTGTGCCATTCCTCAATTTGGGTGAGTGGGTTCTGGGTGGAGGAGGGAGGGAGGGACGGAGGGAGAGAGAGAGGGGAATGGGGGGAGGGAGAGCAGAGTGGATGGACAAAAAGCTGTAGTAAGTTGGATCAGAAGTTAACAAGAGACGACGAATCCCCGACCGGACTAGCCAGAAACTTGGCCCCACCTTGTCGGCCGCGGAGCCCAAAAAGGCGTAAGTTGCGTGGGGCACATGAGCACGAGTGGGAACA